TGCGTTAACTGCGCGAACTTGTGCGCGGATATCGGAGCACGTATCGAGAACGCGTATATGCGATATATGTATAAAATCTGTCCTTTTTAATTTCTTGCACGATTCATGCTTCCTGTTTTTCTCTCCACTAGAGAAAAAAAAAGAGTTGTGAACGGTTCAGCCAAAAAGAACAGGTCTGTAAATTCACACAAAGACATTAACGATGATATGTACGACCGTTAATATTATATCATTTTAGACTGTGAATAAGTTTAAAAGTAGTTTGATCGGTTTGAAAGTAATGTCATATAATCTTTACTTTGGGTTTAATAAATTGATTACAAATTCATCTATGATCATAATCATATTAAGAATGATTATACAATAATAATAGAAAGTCGTCAAAATTTGAAACATATTTAGAAACATTATTTAGAACATATTTCTTATCTTTCTTCAGTGAGTGTGATGTAATTTAAAGTCCATTATGTCAGAGTAAAATTTTTCTCTTTGCTAAATAAATAATCAAATATATCGATTATCTCTTTTTTCCTCACGAGAAATTTTTATTGCGGAAAATATCATCTCAGTCAGAGTTCGAACTTAGAACATTCCAACCCATTAAAAATAACGACACATGATTGGCGATATGAACATTTTTTTAATTTTATGTATGTACAAAATCAAAAAAGATAAAAAATAAGAAGAAAATTTATTAAAATCCTGTCGAGTTTTGCTCATTATTATACTTTTGCTGTTTGAATAGATTCTCAGCCTTATATTAAATTGAAGTATTTTAATAAATATAAAATTAAATAATGTATAGATATATTAAGGTAGCTGTATTTAAAACAAATGTTTATTAAAATTTAAAAAGATTTAATGTTAAATATGCAATAAAATTAAAACTTAGGCCTTATTTCTGAAATATGAATGATATGACATACAATTATTTCGTGATGCGCGATTATACATCGACAATATGATTAATGTAAATTGCGCAAAAAGGTTAATGAAATGACGTCTTAAATTTTTCAGAATCTTCGACTATGAGTTTGATTAATCGCAAAATCAATTCTATCTGACAAGTCCTATATTTATCTTTAATGCATGATGATAAAAAACTCAACAAAACCTTTTAGATTATCATCAGTTTCTTATTTCTTGTCGTTTCATATTTTGATATCGTTATCAGATAATTAAAAACAAAAATCAGAATATTTTTCATCACCCACTTGACTTTCTATATCTCAAGCAGCGACTTTTATGTTTTGTATACGATTTCTTCATAAATATTTGATAACGCACGAGCAACGTAAATACGTAACAGACGTAAAAAAATCTTATTATGTAAAGGACTAATGCATCCCGATAAATTAGATTAGACGCAATTTTAACAACGTATGTATACTTTAAATGCGCAATACGTTTGCTTATTCGTATACGATTCAGTAGGATAAGTTATATGTATATACAACGTTGGCCGTGAAAATATAACGTTAGTTAGCACATTTTAACTTTCTCAGACGCTGAATTATTATTCGCAAACCGATAAATGATGTTTTATGTTACAAAAATTTAGAAACGCGCGCGAATCATTATTATTTACGATGTGACAGTATATATTATATTACGCGTATATATTATATTACGCTCACATGCGTTTTCCACTCGGCGATGCAGCGAAATTGCGTCGTGATTTTGTAGCAATTCTACAACACGTCACGCTGTTCTTTTTTTTATACAACTTTTTCCTTGAATATAATTTCCTCGCAAGCACCTCGTACATACATCACGCATTCCTCGACCGTGTCGACGTGTGCTGTTTTATTTGCGCTTATGTAAGCAAGCCGATGTGTATAATTGCAATCGTGTAGAAATTCGCGGTGTACGCGAAGTGTTGACCGTAGATCGCTGAGATCGCATTATTACCGAAAAGCTTACATCCGGTCCTGCCTTCAACCAGATATATAAATTCCTCGTTTCCCAAATAACTCGAATAATTGCATTCGTCCGCATTCTTTCACGAGAAAAGCAAGCTGCATTCATGAATGCGTCTATAAAATTATCCATAATTAAAAATTATAATTAGTAAAATATAGATAAGGAGAAGATAGAGAGAGAGAGAGAGAGAGAGAGAGAGAGAGAGAGAGACGACGAAGAAG